TGCTCGTGGTTCCACTACTACAGTGGTGGCTGCAGTGGTGATGTGCGATGGTATGGTTGCACCTTTGCTTTATGGAAGCGAACAATCATGTTATTCATAAAGTGGAAAGATAGAAAATCAGATTGAGTATCATATCTGTGGAGATGTATGTATTTGGTATGAACAGATGGCAAAGTATGAATGCAGCAGAGGGAAAACCTTCTGTGTAATCAAGGGTGCACTTTTAAAAAAAACAAAACACAATACCCTCCAACAAAACCCAAAACCACAGCACCTATTTCCCTGGAATAATGAGTACTTTTTATTGGACTAGGTTTTAAAATCTCACTTGTCATTCTAGCTCTTTTGCTATATTTGCTTCTTAATTGAGTTATGTGACTGTGAAGAACTAATTAAAAAATTTTCATGTGACCTCATTGGGAAAATATTTGTCTATTCAGAGGAATGAGGTTTTTAATTAAACCTCTTTTGATGAAATAGTTTCGTTTATGTAACAATGTCTGAGTACTTTGCTATTTAAATATTTCTTGAAATAATGAGGTAGAAAATTTGAAACTAAAAATAGAAGAAAATGCATCAGTGAGGATAACAGATCTGGAACTGTGAATATTCTTTGAATTCAGATTAATAACTTCATTGCTAGTTAAATAACCCACTAAAACATTAATATTTAAAGATAATTAAATGCACTGAGAAAGGCACTCAGAGCAGTGCTAGCAAATGTTCTGGAAGTTGTTCATCCAATTACAGTGACCAAGGGAAGCTGTAGAGTAAAAAAATGCTGCCATGCTATTAATATTTGTTGATTAAGGGATATGTATTTATTCAGGTTCTATATTTTCATTTAAATGAGATACTAACCAGCTGTTCGCAGAAATGACACAGTGGGTTAATCTCTGGGGAAGAACAGGTAATGGCAATGAGTAAGGGATGGGGGAGAGGAACATCAACAAAGGAGCCAGGGGAAGTAAGGAGCAAATCACTGAAGTGTGTCACTAACAGGGCACAAATTTTGATCAGATGAAACAGGCACAGTCCCTGCAGTCGGACCTGGCTGTAAAAGCCCTAGAGGCAGTCAACATAGCTGTGTCTTCACTCCCAGGTACTGGCAGGTTTTACCGGAAGAAATCCCCCCCCCCGGAGGCAAATCTTCCTATGAACTTGCCTAATTCGGTTACAGGTAGAGGCTGAGAGAAAAGATATTCCTTCCGGGCCCTTGTGGGGGATATTGCAATGGGCTGAATGAGAGCCTGTGCCAGAAGCAGCAGGAGAATCTTGCTAGTGGGAAGGTTTCTTACAAGGTGGAAGGAAGAGATTTGCAGCACTTCTGCCCTGGCCCTTGTGCCCTGAATGTCTGTAAGTGTCCTGATGTAGAGCACTAGAGGACACACACCAGCAAATAAGGGAAGGGCAGCTTTCTGCGACAGTCCCTCTTGTTAAGGGAATGGGCGTACTGTGTGAGAGAGCACCTGCCATGGTGAATAACACCACACCTAAGGGTTGTGGAAAGATTTTCAGCTGGCCAGTTCCTGCTCCTGTCCTGTCTAGCAGGTTCTTCTTTTTTTTTTCTCTCCTGTCTTTCTCAAACATGAATATGAAGACTTCTCTCCTGCGGACTATAGAAAGCATGGTTGTTTGCATGTGGATAAACACTGCGTAATTAGAAGACTACTCAATTGACTCTTGGGCCTGGTACTGTCAAAAGCCGTTTTCAAGGTTCGGAAACTGTGAAGCAATCACTACTAATCTGCAAAAAAAAAAAAATCAGCATTACAAAACTGAACCAAGAAGGTAATTTATCACAGCTGTTTATTCTCAGTTGCTTAATGCAGAAACTCTTTGTCCTGAGTTGCCACATAACTAGTGATCCCAGTTAAGCTTATAATCACATTCTTATCATTACATGCCTCTCAGCAGCAGCCTTCTCACAGTGGAAAGCTGAGCCTGCTAGAAATAGATTAGCTAAGCTGTTTGCTGTCATATTTATATATACATTTATGAAGCCCTGTACAGTTGTTCATTTTAAGTAATGGCAGTAATTTAATTGTCTATAACGCTGTTAGGGCTGGCAGAAAAGTAGCAGAACAATATCAGCCTTTATTCACTCTTGTGAGAAAGAATGTGGTCTTAAAGCAGCACTATAAAATAAAAGTGGCTTATTACTGTACACATTCATTTGTATAAGGAGAGAACACGAGTACTGTCAGGGAGGTATTAAGAGGTTTTTATCCACTTGGAACAGCTGGATACCTCTTTGTGCAAGAGATGACAAGGAGCAAAGCAGAACAGGG